ACCCACTCAGAAAGCTTGACCAATCCTTCGTAACCCTTCGCGTCAGCAACCCCCTCCTTCCCCGAGGCCATGGCTGAAGTGCGAGCGCGACTTGCATGCGTCAGAGACTTCAGTCCATGCCCACGCATCAAGCGGCGGCTTGATTCTGCTCACTATGGGGTCCCCGACGTTCCGACCTTTTCCACAGGTCTGGTTCTTCATGACGAGTCGATGTTTGACAGTCCTTGGGGTAGGTCGGGCCTATCCCCCCTACAAGGGGGTTTTGGGCAAAACCCTAAAACACAACAAACATACCCCGACCTAGTCAAAACGCAGTCGGAACATCGTTCCCATACTATTGTTTGTCTATTTTTGAATATCCCTCTGTAGAGGGACAGGCCCGACTTGACATCAACTTCGACAACCCCCCTCGCCGTTGACCAGTGCATCCAAGAATCGGGCCACCGCCGCGCTGAAAAATCCACAGCGTAATCACCCGCCATCGCGAGGCACTGAGTGCAGTGTCCTCAGATCCTTTGAGCCTTCAATCTTCAAGTCTGGAACATCAAAAAAGCATGGGCCCCGAATTGCCAAATTTCATGTGGCGTCCCGCGTGGGGGAGCGTAGTGGGGCGTGTTCCCGCGCGACTTCTCCAGAGCCAAGAGGGCTCCAATATGCGCCAAAAAGCCCACAAGAGGCCCCTGGTCCAAGACGGCCCCGAATCGGCCCGAGTGCGCTCCTTGATGCCCAAGGTGGCTTAAGACTGCCCACGAGGTCCCCGAGACGGCCTAAGAGAGCTCCAAATGCCCACCCCAGGGGGTGCCAAAATGCTCAAATCACAATGATTGAACGTAACTTCGGACGGATTTAGGCATCGCCATTTCGGGTTCCGGTCCGACCAAGACGGCCCAAGAAGAGGCCGCGAAGATCGCCCCAAGACGGCCCAAGAGGGTACCCACACGGCCCAAGAGGGCCACAAGACGTCCCAAAACGGCTCAAAGCGGCCCCAAAACGGCACTAAGAGGGGCCCCAGAGGGGGGACGCGAACCAAGATAGGGAACTCTTTGTCCCAAGATGACACCCGAGACTGCAGCAGGCCCCCAAGAGTCCCGAACAAGCTTCTGGAGGCCCTTGAAAACCCAAGTCAGGCCCCAAGAGGCCCTGGAGAGGCCCCCCCCCCAAACACACCAAAACCGCATCCAATCCAAGAGGCTTCCGAGAGGCCGAGGCCCCTGACCTATAACCGAGGCGCGGTGGCGGAACGGCCCGAAAGACACAAGATCCGCCGCCCCCTTTTGATTTCGCCGGCCACCCGGAAGAGGTGGTTGTGAACGGCTGTCCTGCCCCAGACGGCCCCAAGATGGCCTCCAAGACGGCCAAGATGCCTCCAAGACGGCCCAAGATGTACCCAAGACGGCCTAAGATAGCCTGAAGATGGCCCAAGACGGCCCATGAGGCCCCCAAGAGGCCTCCAAGACGGCCCAAGAGGCCTCCAAAAGGTCCTCCAGGAAGGCCCGACGAGGCAAAATGGCTTTCCGACGGCCGCAGACGGCCCAAGAGACCCCCAAGATCGCCCCAAACTCGCCCAAGCGGCCTCCAAGATGGCTCCGTGACGGCCCAAGAAGCCCCCAAGACGCCCCCAAGAGGGCCCCAAGACGGCCCAAGACGCCTCCAAGACGCCCAAGATGGCCTCCAAGACGGCCCGGAAGCGCCCCAAGAGGGCCCCAAGTCGGCCCAGAGAGGCCCCCAAGACGGCTCCCGACGGCGTCAGACGTGCCACGAACCCACCAAGATGGCCGAAATTGGCTCGAAGCTGGCCCAAGACGGCCCAAGAGGCCCCGAAGAGGGCCTCCAGGAAGGCCAGAAGAGGCCAAAACATTGATTGTCCAAAGGTTTTTGAAGGATGTTGGCATTGCGCCTTTTCTGCCTTCCGACGGCCCGAGATGGCCCAAGAGCCCCCGCAGATCGCCGAGAGGCCTCCAAGATGGACCCAGAACGGCCCAAGAGGGCCCCAAGACGGCCCCAAGAGGCCCCCAAGACGGCACAGGAGGCCTTTAAGACGCCCAAGATGGCCTCCACGACGGCCCTGGAGCATTCCAAGAGGGCCCCACGTCGGCCCATAGTGGCCCCCCAAACAGCTTCCGACGGCGTCAGACGGACCAGAAGCCCACCAAGACGGCCGAACATGGCCCTAAAATGGCCCAAGACGGCCCAAAAGGCCTCAAAGAGGGCCTCCAGGAAGGCCCGAAAAGGCCAACATCATTGATTTCCCATGGGTGTTTGAAAGATTGTGGCATTTGCTTGTTTTGCCTTCCGACGACCCGAGACGGCCCAAGTGCCCCCAAAGATTGAGGCCCAAGGCACGGCCCCAAGAGGCCCCACAGACGGCCCAAGAGGTCTCCAAGACGCTCAAGATGGCCTCCAAGACGGGCCAAGAGCCCTCCAAGACTTCCTCCAAGAAGGCCCGAAAGAGTCAAAATGGCCTCCACACGGCCAAGATGACCTTCAAGATGCCCACGTGTTCCCCGATTTCCAAAGCGAATCGGGGAACACATGGTCCAATACCTTGGCAGGTCTGGCCTCAACGTTCGTCCACATAGGCGCTTCCAAAAAGGCAGGGGGCGGCGGTGATTCGCCGTAGGCGTCTTCGATCCGCCGCCCCCTGGCGATTCATCGCAGCGGTGCCTGGCGTGCCGGACCCTTGCGGTTTTGGTTTTGGCTCTTTTTCCCAAAGAACTCCCCCTGGCGCTTCGGCCCGTCCCGCCGGCCCTGCGGAAAGCCTGCGAACGACCTCAACGTCCACAACAAATCCTCAAAGACGCCTCAAGATGGCCTCCAAGATGGTCACGTTGGTCCAAGATGGCCTGCAAGATGGCCCACGATGGCCTCCAAGTCCGCCCAAGATGGTAGAAGACGGCCTCCAAGACGGTCTAAGAGAGTCCAAAATACCTCCAAGTTCGCTCAAGAAGCACCCAAGACGGCCCAAGAGGCCTCCAAGAGGTCCTCCAGGAAGGTCAGAAGAGGCCCACATCATTGATTTCCCTTTGGTTTTTCAAAGGATTCGGGCACTTGCTCCTTGTCGGCTTTTCGACGACCCAAGACGGCCCAAGAGGCCCCCAAGATCGCACCCACAGCGCCCAAGAGGCCTCCAAGAGGGCCCCAAGGCGGCCTCCCAAGGCCAAGAGGTTACATAATAGAGGCCCCCAGAAGCCCTTAAGAGATCCCGAAGAGGCCCCAGGAGAACCCCAAGAGGTCCCCGGAGGCTTCCAAGAGGCCCCTCAGAGCCTACCCAAAAGGCTCCCAGAAGCCCCCAGGAGGCCTCAAGAGGACCTCAACAGGCTTCCTCTTCACTCCTTCTCCTCATTCTACTCCCTCGCCTCCTCCGTTCTCTTCTCGGCGGCGAGCGAGAAGGGGCGGGCCTTCTCAGAAGGCTCGGGAGTCCCCCGGCCTTCTGAGAAGTTTTCTAAGCCTTCCCCGAAGACACAGACAACATTTCAGAAGGCCGGAGGGCTTCTGAGAAGTCCCACCTGCTTCTTAGAAGGCTTTATCCATCTGCATTCCCCCCTTGCTGGCCGCCGATCTTCCTCTCCCCGGTGGTCCCCCAAGGGGGGTTCCACAACGGCACGGGGAACACACAAGCCAATAGCTTGGCCAGACGTCGGCCAAACGTTTGACCGCAGGAACGTTTCCAAAAAGCAGGGGGAGGCGGTGTTTCGCCGCGAGCGCCTCAGATCCGCCGCCACCCTGTGGCTTGCCACGGGGGTGCACGGGGTGCTAAGACGTTGGGTGCCCGTTGCGCCGGTAAGCTCGGCTCGAAGACGGCTAAGATGTTTCCAAGATGGCATCTAAAATGCCTCTCCTAGACGACTAAGATGGCCCCAAGAGGAGCCCAAGAACCCCCCAGACGGCCCAAGAGGTCCCCACGGCGCCTCAAGAGGGCTCCACGAGGACATCCAAGAAGCCAGCATCATTTATGTTCATTCGGTGTTTCAATGAGTTTAGCAATCCCGCCCCCAAACGCGCCGAGAGGCCCACAAGACAGCCTCATAGACGTCCAAGACGGCCCTCAGGCGCCCAAAGAGGGACCCACGACTGCCTAGAGAGGGCCCCAAGAGGCCCCAGAAGGCCCCCCAATATTCCTCCACGAGGTCCCGAAAGGGCCTCGAGAGGCCTCCGCTTCTTCCTCCTTCTACTTCTCCTCCTCCTCCTCCTCCTCGTCCTCCTCCTCCCCCTCGTCCTCCTTCTCCCTCTCATCCTCCATTCTCCTTTCTCTTCCTCTCCTAAACGCTGGGAGAATACGTATCCTAACGCCTTCGCCAGACTTCGGCCCTGCGTTTGGCCACGAGAGCGTTTCCAAATGGCAGGGGGCGGCGGTGATGCGCCGTACGTGTCTTCGATATGTCAGAGGTCCATCACACATATCTCTCTGTCTGTATATATATATATAATATATATTATATATATATATATATATATATATATATATATATATATATATATATGTAACGAGAGAGATAGAGAGAGAGAGAGAGAGAGAGAGAGAGAGAGAGAGAGAGAGAGAGAGAGCGAAAGAGAGAGAGAGAGAGAGAAACAAAAAGCAGAGAGAGAGAGAGAGAGATATATAGAGACATCGAGGGCCACCGCGTTATATCTCCCTACACACATATATATATACGAACAATAATTTATACATATATTTATGTGTATATATATAGATATATATATAGATATACTGAGGACACCGACATCCCCGAGGACGGGAGGCGAGGAAACCCACCCCCGGACCTCCTCCTCCTCCTCCTCCTCCTCCTCCTCGTCCTACTCCTCCTCCTCCTTATTATCCCGTAGTAGGAACGCACTACAATACCGATCCTGGCCAGGACCACCCTGGGCCCAGGATCGGTGTACATGCCCTCCCCCCTTGGGCAGGATGCCGATGCACCGATCCTGGGCCCAGGATCGGCCTGGCCAGGGTCGGTGCAGGTGTACAGCTGGTGCCCTCCCCAGCCCTGGCGCCGCACCGTCGCCGGCAGCGCGTCGCTCGCCGAGGCGACGATCGGGGAGGAGTAGCTGACGGGGGAGAGGTTCTGCCGGAGTATCTTGCCCTGGGCGGCCGGGGGGGGGAAAGGGCGCAGAGGTGGGGGAAGCGCAGGACTCGAGTAGGCCGGAACTCGGGTTTGCCGACTCCTTCTGACGAGCGCGTCCCGGATTTTGACGGTCCCGTTTTCGTGGGATGTCTGCAGCGGGAGCCCGCGTCGAATTTCAGATTGGGTCTCGCCGTTTTTAGGATGGCCCCCGTCAGGCCAACCCGAGTCCCCCGTTCCTGTGTTTTGTTCGGTTTCGTGTGTGTTTTTTCGCCAAATGATCCAGGATGCTCCTCGATGGTCCCCGCCGAAAAAATGCACACGTCCGAGCGATGCCAGGCATATCGGAAATGCGGCGCGATCCTCCGACTCCATGAACTCGGACCCCAACTGGGAGGCCGAAGGCGAGGGCGAGAGATGCCAAGAGGCTTCCGTCGAGCCGGCATGTGGACGCCTTGGGCGTCTTTTTTCGTGTTGCGGTATTGTTTGTCGTTTGTTCTCCTTCTTTGAAGGGGCCCCAGGACACACAAATAAATACACACACATAAAACAGATTCTCCATATGTTCATATATTTTCTGGGCTTCTGTCTTCCCCCCACTTCCAATATTTTTCCATAATTTCTGTGGAATTGAGGATTAATTGTGTCTGTGTGTTTTTTCCTCTCCTCCTTCTTTTTGTTAGGCAAGGGGCCACGGCCCAGGAAGGGCTTGGGAGCGACCTCGCTGCGACGACCCCGAAGACAAACCGCGAGCGCTGGCAGGCCCCCTTATCCCAGGGCTCCCCAGGCCCAGACGGGGGAACAGTGGTGGGATGGAGCTGTCGAAGTGCTGCATTTAGACAGTGCCCCTCCACCGCGCTCGAGAGGGAGGAAGAACTAATCGACACTGACTTCGGCTCAGAGACGATCGTGGCGACGTCCAGTGTCGGGCGAGTCGGGAAGGAGGGCGAGGGGTGGAAGAGGGGAGACGGCGTGAGGGGATGGGGGGCAAGAAGAGGGCCAGGGCCTACGGGCAGGGGATGGAGAGCCGGCGCGAGCCACGGCGAGGCTTGGCGGACTTCACCCAGGGGCGGCAGCAACCGACGCGGATGTGTAGCCCTCCTCCTCCTCCTCCTCCTCCTCCTCCTGCTCCTCCTCCTCCTCCTCCTCCTCTCGCCCACCTCCTCCTCCTCCTCCTCCTCCTCCTCCTCCTCCTCCTCCTCCTCCTCCTCCTCCTCCTCCCCGTCCTCCTCCTCCTCCTCCTCCTCCTCCTCCTCCTCCCCATCCTCCTCCTCCTCCCCCTCCTCCTCCTCCATCACCTTCTCCTCCTCCTGCACGTACCATGCAGCATATTGCTTTTCAGAAGTCTAAAGGCACGTTCGTCGTCGAGCTCTGAGCTTTACGAGGCGCCCAAAGGCTTCTGCGGGTCATTGGGGCCGCCTGTGGGATTGAACAATTTCGTGGAGCACGGGCCGGTTTCTGTTGTGACGCGCCAGCGGCCAAACAAGAAATTGCGCCAACGGCAGACCCTGCGCAAACATCTGTTCACATTGTTCCTCACGCTTTCCCCATCGCCATGGCGGAGGCCCTCGTCCCGCCTTCTGAATAGCCACTTCCTCCTTCTCCTCCTCGTCCTCATCCTCCTGGCCCTCCTCCTTCTATGTATCCTCCTCCTTTTCTTAGATGTCCTCCTCTTTCCTTCGCGCGGTTGAGGCGGTCACGGCGTCTTCCTCCCCTTTTTCCGTCTGCTCCTGCTCTTCCTTCTTGTCCCCCTCCTCCTCCTCCTCCTCCTCCTCCTCCTCCTCCTCCTACTTCTCCCATTCCGTCTCCCTGCCCTCCTCCCCCCTCTTCCCCTCGTGGAGTGCATGACCGGCCCGCGCATGCCGATCGTACGTGGCGCCGTCTCCGCCTCGACCAGCACGAGCGCGTTCTCCCACGGACAGATCGCGGAGCTGTTGGGACAACCCCGAGAGCCAGGAGGAGGGGGAGGAGGAGGAGGAGGAGGAGGAGGAGGAGGAGGAGGAGGAAGAGGAGGAGGAGGAGGAGGAGGGGGGGGAGGAGGAGGGGGAGGAGGAGGAGGAGGAGGAGGAGGAGGGGAAGGAGGAGGCCGAAGGTGGCCGACGCCCCAGGGGCTCCCCCAAGGGCACCGAAAGAACCCCGAAGCCTTGGCCCCGACGATGGCAACAGGGGAGAGGCGACGCCCCCACCACCAGAACGAGCCAGCCATGGAGGGGGGGGTCCTCCTGGTGGTGTCGTCCCCTCTGCCCTTAGTGGGCCCTGGAAGCGACAGGGCCGTATATGTTGCCGGTTCCGTTCTGCCGTTTTTGTTGCCGGTTCCGACGCCGTTTCCTTACCGGTTCCGTCGCCGCTCTTTCACAGATTCCCGCTCTGGTTCCAATCCTGGAGGCGTTTTTGTTGCCGTTTCCGGTCGCCTTTTTTTGCCGTTTCCATTTTCAAGGGACACTTTTTCGGAAACGGTGAAAAAGCGGCCCTACCGTTTCCGGGGCCACTAAGGTGGTGTCGTCCCCTCTGCCCGCTCGAAGCATCCCGTGTCCCCAGCCAGCGGAGGTATCGTGAACCTCCTCGCCCGGGGTTGGCACCCCTGGTGGTGGTGGTGCCGCTGTCCTCCGGAATATGACAAGGCCTCAGATGGTGACTACCTACCAGACCACCCGTACCTAACTTGCAGACCCGAATTTCGGGTTGGGGGGGGGGTACGGGTTCCACACGTGTTTTTTTGTCGATGTTCCCCGGCCCCCGCCCCCACTGTAAATGGAGGGTAAATTGAGGCCTTCGGGTTGGGTTTGGGTGGCTTGGTGGGGGAGTTCCCATCCACCCGACGTCGCGAACATTTCGCAGCGTGCACCCCCACAGGTCTGGGGCCCTTCCCTGGGACTCTCTTGCCAGTCTCCAGCCCGCGCCCACGCGGGCGCCGCCTCGCTGAAGGAGGAGGCGCTCCTCCTCCGGGGCGAGGACCGCGCTCCTCCTCCCAGAGAGATGGGGTTTGGTTGAAGTCGGGCCTGGTCCCCCTACAGGGGAAGATTCAAAAATAGTAAAGAAATAGTCTGGGGCCCATTTTTGGAACATGTTTTGACCATTTTGGGGGTATTTCTTGAATATTTGTTATTTTTCGTCCAAGCTCCCCCTGTAGGAGGACAGGCCCGACTGAAGGTTTGGTGGGTGGTGAGGTGGCCCAGAGTCTGGCACTGCTCTGGCCGTGCGGGGCCCGAGGCCTGCGTGTGGGTCTCCGCCACGTTCGAGAGCGCGAGCAGGTGGGAGAAGGCGCGCGCCACGTCGCGCAGCAGTGACGGGTCGAGGTCTCGGCCGGAGGGAGGCGGAGGGCGGGCCACTCACATCGCCATTTGCTGGGCCGATCACTAGGCCCGATCACGTTGGGAGGCAACTCCTGGGAGGCCTTCGCAAGACCGATCAGCATGTCAAGCCCGAATAAGAAGGGGCCATTCAGCCCCGGATGACGCCCAATATTCAGCCCGATTGAGACGGAATCAGCGGTACTATGTCGGATTAGGCATGCACCCGACCACGGACACACAAGCGACGATGCTGACTTGCACATCCCAATGGACGCAACCTAACTCACGCGATCGGGTCACGGCTATACTCGAACTGCCCATTTCGTCACGCAGAACGCCGCCAGCAACAAGCAGACGCCCGTGATCACGACCGCGTGTCTAGCAGACGCCAGGGGCAGGATTAGCAGCAGCAGCAGCAGCAGGGTACAAGCGGCTTTGATCGGAGAGGACACGCAAGAGGACACAAGACCCTTCTGAGGGCCACGCTGCCAAAGGATTGTAGAGGGCAGAGGTCGCCACACAGAAGACACAAGGGCATCCGTGGTATAGAAGGGTCGACCTACTCATCAAAGTCGACTGTAATGCTTGCGAATGCTAGGAGCAGCAGGCGGGAGGAGGCGCGCGTAACGTCGCCTACACAAAGGGTGGGCCCAACTGCCCATTGGGACCCTGCTCGTCCTCCACCTCGTCCTCCTCCTCCTCCTCCTCCTCCTCCTCTTCCCCCCTCCTCGTCCTCCTCCTCCTCCTCCTCGTCGTCCTCCTCCTCCTCCTCCTCTTCCCCGCTCCTTCTCCTCCTCCTCCTCCTCCTCCTCCTCCTCCTCCTCTTCCCCCCTCCTCCTCCTCCTCCTTCTCCTCCTCCTAGCTCGAGCAGGTCCGCGGCCTCGGCCACCTTGCCCTCGAGCGAGGCGACAACTACAGCGCTGAAGGGTGCGAGTCTGACGCCGAGCTCGGTGGATCGGGGCTTTGCTTCTGCGTGTAGCGCAAGCACACACCTTAGGAGGCAGCTGCTGGGAGGTTCTCGTCGGAAAGGTTTAAGGAAGATTGAGCCCCATTTGGAAGCTGTTACGCCGGAATGGGCCTCGGACTAAGCAGGATCAAGCCGGATGAAGCGGGAGTAAGCAGGACTAAGACGGATATTAAACGAGATCAAGCCGGATTGAGCCAGATGTCGGACCAGGGCGAACACAGAATATGACCTCCCGGGAGTCGCATCCGAACAGACCCATACCATACCTCCTCCTGCTCCTCCTTCCGCCCCCGGGGCCATCCTGACGGGCGGGGCGGGTTCGACTCCCTCCGAGGTCCTGAGCGCAGGGGCCTCGGCAAACCGGGGAGTCGGCACGCCCGAGAGAGGAGGAGGAGGAGGAGGAGGAGGAGGAGGAGGAGGAGGAGGAGGAGGAGGAGGAGGAGGAGGAGGGGGAGGAGGAGGAGGAGGAGGAGGAGGAGGAGGAGGAGGAGAAGGAGGAGGCGGAGGAGGAGGACGTCCTCCGCTCGTCGACGCTTCTCTCGCGCCCGGCCCGGACCAGCCTTGGGCTGCCGTGTCCCGGCTTCGGGAGGGGGGGGCCCCGAAGCAGTGGCGGCGACAGAGCGTGCGGCGTCCTCGGGAGGCTCCAGCGACCTCACCGCACGGTTGCTCTGACGGAGCAAGGCACCGAGGACGACACGGAGGAGGAGGAGGAGGAGGAGGAGGAGGAGGAGGAGGAGAACGCGCAGCAGGAAGATGATGAGGAAAACGGAGCAGTGGAGGAGACAGATACCGAGCAGGACAGGTGGGCGAAGGAGCAGCAGCAGCAGGGGAACCATGGCCATGAAGAGGACAGGGATGGCACTGATGACAGGGATGATGACAGTGAGGATGGGATCTTCATAAGGGGCGGAAGGGGCAGAGCAAACCCATGATGCACCAAGAATGCTGCAATACACCCTCCCATCAGAAGTACCCAGCTCCCAACGCCCCACACGCCTCTCGCTGCAGTGTGCGCCCCGCTTGGAAGACGAGCACCCGAAGAGGTCCTGCCACTCCGGCGAAGGCCCAGTTTCGGGAACCACCTGCCTTTCATCTTCCCCGCCGCTGACATTTCATTCGAACAAGCACACGCGTGAATTCCAACCAGGTGTGCCGAGAGAGAACCCCGTATTGAAAAGGACGCACTTCAATCCATCTACCTGATACGGGAATGTATGCGTCTGGCCATTGCACCTGTGGAAATTTGAACCGAGGCCCCTACCCTGCAACGGGATCCTCCCCCCATCCGAGCAGATGCTGCACATGCCCGAGCGTAACAACTACTGTTTTTGAATATGTGGAGCCAATTTAGCGAAACAATAATTTCGAAACCATCGTCCTCCGTTCATATAAAGTTGTGCGAGTGTGTGCGGTGCTGAGGCAAGGGCCTCATTTTGACAAGGTGCCGCCATCCGTCCTTCTAACTGATGCGGACATGTAATATGAACGTGCGCGTGCTAGGCAAGGGTCACATTGAAACAAGGAGCCTCCCTCCACCCTTTCAACTGTCGCGTCTGAAAGCGCGGGGCTCAAGAGATAGCCCTGTCTTGAAAACGCCCGCCCGATCAATTCTTGTGGCTGTTGGACGTCCCAAGCTTCACAATCATAAACCGCGAGGGCGTCTCAGGCGAAACGACCGGGGGCGCTCGACAAACTATTTGTCCAGCAGCAAAAGGAAAGGCGCGCGAGGAAAACAGGCGGTCGCGGAGGACATGAGGGAGGGCTAGGGTTAGGTCGGGCATGTCCTGCTACAGGCGGATCTCGGAAGGCGTGGATAAAGAGTCAAACCATACTCAGAAATAGCCAGAAGAGCACGAAGCATCGTCCCAAAACTCCATCACCGTGACGAACATGTCTTTCAAACTGCCCTCGCCAACAGCGCATCAGCTCGGAGTCATCCGAACCAAAAACCGCTCCAACTACTCCGCGCGTGGGCGCATCCCGCTCGATGATTCATAGGGGCTGGCGCGGCGCAGTTTCCGAGCCGCTTTTGGGGGCAACCGAATTGTGAGCACCAGGCGGATCGGAAACTGCTCCGCCGAATGACGCAGCCACCATGTCATGTCAGGAATCGTGGGAGGCATGGGCGATATCATCACCATGGCGGGGTGAAGCAACTGTTGTCACGGCTGTGCATCTCTCCGCTCTTCTCGAACCTGCCTCCCATAGAGGGACCTGCCCGGGGCACTCCTGGCCGCAACCATTTTCGGGATGGGCGCGCCGGGGCGGCACGCCCGGGCCGAGGAGACCCTTAGGGGACGCGGAACGGCATCACGGCCACACCCGCGAGGGGGATGGAAGCCACGGAGACGAGGGAACGGACGAGAAAGGGGACCAGAGGGGGGAGGGGGAGCAGAGACGCGGAGCAGGAGGACCAGGCCCACCACCGCAGGAGCGTCGACCGAATTCCGAAGGCAGCATGGGTGGAGGGGTAGCAGCTCCGCGGGGAGGGGAATGAGGGGGCCCAGGGACTCACACACACACACACGCACACACACACACACACGCACACACACACACACGCACACACGCACACACACAGACACACACAGACACACAGACACAGACACAGACACAGACACACACACAGACAGACAGACAGACAGACAGACAGACAGACAGACAGACAGACAGACAGACAGACAGACAGACAGACAGACAGACAAACAGACAGACAGACAGACAGACAGACAGACAGACACATACACACGCGCACACGCGCACACATACGCACACGCACACGCACACTCACACACACACACACACATACACAAATCCCAGGCTTCCCCATACTTCCCTATCTTCCCCCCTCGGCTTCCCTTATTTGCTTATTTGTTCTATACTGTCCTGGGAATCGATACGTCTTCGTGTCTGTATGTTTCTTCCCCTCCTCAAAAGGAAAAGGCCAGGCTCCTCTTCGATGCCACACCCCCGCGCGCCCCTGCTCCCTCTCCTGGTCCAAGGCCTCGCCTGCACGCAGGAGGGGCCTCACAAGCAACAGAGCTGAACCTAAACGGTGTTGTTCGTTTTCGTTTCGGTTTCGTTCTCCCTCGCTTTTGCCTCGAATCCGCCTTTACCGCCAAACGACGTCGAAACGAAAACGGCCCGCGAAATCGCCAAAAACAGCGTTTAGGTCAAGCCCTGGTAAGCAACATAGGCCACTGGCGCGCGGCTTCTGGGGGGCCGCGGGGGGGGGGGGTCACATCCGAGCGTGCCAGCCGCTGCTGGGGGGACCCCTGTCGGAGGCCTGGAAATTGGCACCAACACCAAGACAGGGGGTTGCCTCCACAGGGGGAAGGTGATCCTAGATTTTCGGTGTTGGTGATAATAGTTCGGCCACCTTGGAAGCCAGAATATTACCACCATAGCCGAGATCGGGATCTTCTTCCCTCGGTGGTGGCACACCGCCGAAACTGGTGTTGGTGTCAATCTCTAGGCCTGCGACCCAGTGCAAGGCGAAGCCAGGACGAGGGTAACATTGAGTGAAAGTGAGTCGAGAATATCTGAGATCTGGCAGTGCTGGAGGACGTCTCGGGCGCCGCGGCCTTCTCAGAGCGTTCCGGAACGCGCCGAGGGCGTTCCGGAACGCTCTGGAACGGATGTTCCCTCGTCCTAGCCTGAGGTCGGGCATGTCTTCCTACAGGCGGGTTTTGGAAGGAAATAACACATAGGACAAATAATGATCAAAAGTAGTGACAGGAGCACGAACAATCGTCCCAATACTATGTTTTACTATTCTCTGATATTTCTCCTGTAGAGGGACATGCCCGACTTCATCCTAGCCCCGTCCGAAGGGGCCCGCACCACAAGGACGCTCTGGGGAAGGGCCACGCTTGCGTGCAATCTACAAAGGCCACCGCCTCGGCCTCCGCGAGGCCGTTTGCAAGACCAGGCTGGAGAGGGAAGACGAGGACTTCAGAGGAACAAAGACGAGTACTTCAGACGAGAGTAGAGGGTTCTGCATGGCGGCGCCGCCCCATTCTGGCACACCCGTCACACGTTTCGTGGCCCCAGAGCTCTACCTAAGGTCCAAATGGCGCAGTCCACATGGCCGCGCCGCCATATTCTGGCACACCCCTCACACGGTTCGTGACTCCATAGGAAGCTCCACCTAAGGCCCAGTGGCGCAGTCCGCATGGTCGCGAACAGCTGGGAAGAAGGCCTACATTCGGCCCGTATCATAAGGATGCGCGTGAGGATGCAGGGGCCTTGGGCGCCCATTTCGAACCTTTCGAGCGGGGCGCGGCCAACGAAAGTTGAGAAGGATGGAAGGGTACCCTTGGGAAGGTTGCTCATCCCTACTATGCTGGTTAGCTGTAAACTTTCGTGGCGGCGATGAAGGCGCCGCCGGGGGGAGCCAAGCGCCGATCCGAAAATCAGTGGGCAGGTCTCAAAGGTTATGCTCATGCCGTTTGTTGTTCTTCGAGCGGGGCCGTGCAAGGCCAGGCCGGTGAGGGAGGTGGAGGACCTGGACAAGAACGAGGAGGGGGACGACGGCGGTGCAGACGAGGCCAAAGCGAGGAGCACAACTGGACTCGCCGCCCGGGTGCCCCGACCCCATCCCAAAACGTAGCTGAGGGCGCTGCTCTCCACCTGGCTGCACAGGGACTGGAACTCGCCCTAGGCAGGGGTGGAGAAAAAGGGTGGGCGGGCACCGGGGCGCCGTGCGGAGCGGGGCCGAAGGTAGAGGAACGAGAAGCAGCAAGAGCGTAGGCTGTCGGAGGTCCGCGAGGACACGGTGGGGAACTTCTGCATAACGTGTCGGGGCGGCGGCTCTGGTGGCACGCTGTGCCTTGCAAACGGATTGCGTGTCGCTCCGCTCTGCAGGGCGGAAGGCTAAGAAAAGCTGGGTACGTTGACGCCTCGGGACCGAGAAGAGGATACCGCGTCGCTCCAAAGCGCGGTGGGCCAGAACCGGCGGAGCGACACGGTATCGAAAGAAACTCGACCGTATCCTGGGTCAGCACTGGGCCCCCCCTGGCGGCGCCTGGTGAAATCCGCGCGGCGACCTCCAGAAGTTTATGCTTACAGCTGGCACGAGGGCTAAGAACAACCTAGTTTTCTGAGGGCTACCCTGCGAACGTTTTCTTATTCGTCGTTTGTCTGGCTCCAGACCTCTGCTCAGTGCGACTGTTTGCAACAGAGAGACCCCATCTGCTCGAAAGAGGTGCCAAAAACAGCCAGGACCTACCCCATGGGGGGGAGGGGGGGTTGCGAGGGCCCGCGCACCACCGGTTTCGACAAGGTTTCTGAGGGGTTTCTGACGTCGGCCCCCCCCCCACCGCAGGATGTGTTTCCTGTCTCGTACCTCCATGAGGCCCTTGGTCTTCGGCGAAGCTGCTCGCATTCTTGGTCCGCGCTCCTGTGGCCCTGTTTCGACTGTATGTGTTTCCTTCTTCGAGGAGGGCAGCGGCAGCAGCAGGAGCACGGGGGGTGAGGATCGGATCGGATGCTGGGGTCGATTCGGCAAGAGAAAGCATCAAGCTCCACGGCGCCGTCTGTAGACGACCGCGTTCCACTGCCCGCAAAGTCAACACTCGCAAATGGCCTGGATCCTCCGCGGGGGATTCACGACCCATTGCGTCGAGGCAATCCCTTGTGCTTCGGACGTTTGCGAGTAGGCACTTTGCCAGCAGTGGAACGCGCTCGGCGAGTCCAGGGCCCCTCCTTTGAAGGGGCCGCATGGCTGCAACTTGAGCTCAGTATCCGTTGCGGCAGTACCTGTTGCATCCCGCCCTGCTCGGGGGGGGGCAAGGCAGGGGGAGGGGCGGGCGGCGAGGTGCCCAGCGGCAAGGGGCTGCGGGAGGAGCAGCGGCAAAAACCTTCCGAAGAAACCCCCGGTCGAGCTCCTGACGCTCCAAGACGGCCCAGGAGGCCCGCGGGACCACCCCACGACGGCCCCCCAAATGGCCGTCAAGAGGCTTCAAAACGGCCCCGCGAGACAACCGCGAGCCGCGGGCAAAAACTACCTAAAGAGAATGCGTTGCTCTGACTTCGCCCTAGCAGCGGCGGAACCACTCTTCTCCCCCGCGACCGCAGCTTCGCCTCGCCCGCACGCGCGGCACGAACAAGAAACAAAAACCGATTTCGCAGCGTGGGTTATCCGTTTCAATGTGATCTCTCCCTCCCGGCCTCCAACAATGCTGATATGGGCTCGGGCGCACATGCGGGCGGCACCATCAGCTCCAGCGCTGGGAGCGGCACATGCAAGCAATCAGTTAATGGCAGCACAGGTTGTCAGCGCGAGAATGCAAGCGATGGTACGGCCGGTCCTAGGACAGAATAACACCCTCCAAGAACATGAGACCCTCCGCCAGCCAAGCAGAAGAATACTTG